TACTTTGCGTGTGTCTGTGTGTGTGTGTGTCTGAGTATGTGTGTGTGTGTGCGTGTAAGTGTGTATGTTATATATTATAGAATGGAGAATGTTTTGTACGAAAGAAAGAAAGAATGCATGGATGAATGAAGATATTGACAAACGAATGAATGAATGAATAAATGAGTGAATGAGTGATGGAATTGGTAAATGAATGAATGAATTGGTGGATAAATAAATGAGTTAATAACAAAAATCGTTTTCAGTGGCCGCACCATAAAGCTTTATCTAAAAGCAATGGCGGAAATGACGTCAATTTATTATTATTATTATATCTTCTACTATATTATATACAGGGTAGATCTAGTGGTATATGAACATATATTGGGTTAAACAAAGCTCAAGTGCTATAGCTCAATTCCTAAGGTAGTCAGGCTATAGTTGAATTCCTAATGTAATCATGCTATAGTTCAATTCAATACTAGGTCATAAGCCTAGTAAAGGGCATGTTGACTATTGACCCGGCAACCAGATGGACAGCTGATAAAGTTTCCAAACTGAAATGGATCCCAGAGCTGTCTGAACATTTGGATGATGAAGAAGCAACTAAGAATCGATGGCAAAGATGTTTTGACATTTTTACCGATTATAGTGAGTTTGCGGACTCCTTATCCACTTTCAGTCAGGTTTTTCAACAAAAATTGCTAATTTTTTCCATTTTCGCTTCCATCCGTATCAACAAACCTTCATAATTAATGTTTATTTCTTGCTGTCAAACATTTACAATTGTGCTTGAAGCTTCATTTATGTAACTATTTGAAAATTTTCTAAAGTTATTTGTTTTCGACAGATTAGAGATAGAATATGGATATATTTATATAGTATATAATATCAATATATATATATAGTATATAAATTTAATCTTCTTTATATACTTATTCTTATCTCTCTCTCTCTCTCTCCCTCTCTCCCTCTGTCCGTCCGTCGCAAATGCCTCGCCAACTATTGATATTTAAATATATGAATTTTTTTAAATCTAGAAATTTGAATCAAAATTCAAATTTATTTCATTTATTGTGTGAAATAGCTTATAAAAAAAATACCATTATTATGATAGAAAAATAAATATCCCATATACTGATATATTGAATGATAAGATTTAAAAAAATAAACATACACACACACACAAACATACACAATCACACAAACAAACATACACACACACACGCACAAAGCAAAATTGAAAACAGCAAAACAAAAACAACAGATTAAAACACTTCTAATTTATGCAACAAGATTGAAAACAACAACAATAATTTTAACAAGATGGAATATCATATAAAATTTCACGCTGAATAATGAAATGAGTGCAAAAAAGTAGCTACATACGAAGAACAAAACACTGAATTCTTTGTTAATCTCTAGTTAAGCTCAATCAATCAATCAATAAAAATCAATCAATCAATTTTATAACTTGTCAACCATTAAACCAGTCATTCATTCCCATTATTTCACCGTTTCTTCATTCACTCAGTCAGTCGTCATCTAATCACACAGTCAATCATTCTTACCTTTATTCATTCATTCACCCATCCATCCATCGATTCATTCATTCATTCTGATTTCATTCATAAAACGGCTAAGTGGGTTTCTAGAAAAATCGACGTATCGTCCATTTATCGCCTGCCCAACTGATCTCATGTGATCTAAAAGGTATTTTTAAAAATTTATTAGTTAATTAATCAATCAATTAATCAATCAATTAATCAATCAATCAAACATTCAAACAAACAACCAACCGATTAATCGACATTAAAATCTAAGCAGGATAATCGAATTTAACATTTGAAAAAAATTTTCAACAGAATCCTCAAGCAAAGTTCAGTGAAAAAACAATCCCACGCAAACCCAAGCACGCTTTTTCAAACATTTTTCTAAAAAAAATATGGAAAATATATCTTAAAAAATAATTCGCAATATTTGTATTTGAAAAAATTAAAACATGAAAAACCATAAAACATCACATCACATCATAACCACCTCAAATGTGGATTAACTAATGTTATCAAACCAACACATACCACTTACTAAACTCTCTTTCACTCTCTCTCTCTCTTTTCCTCTCTCTCCCTCTTTCTCTCTCTAGTTACTCTTCTTTTTATCTTTTTATTCCTTCAGTTTCTCTCTCATTCTCAAGTTTTTTCTCTTCAGTACCTCGGCTTTCTCTTTATTTTTTTCGTTCGTTTCTTTATTTTTTTTACAGCCTCTTTCTTTGTGTTTTTCGTTCTCTCTCTCTCTCTCTCTCTCTCTCTCTCTCTCTCTCTCTCGATCGATCGATATACAGTATTGCTCAAAAAATTGTGAACGCTTATTAAACTGAACAAATTTATGTTATAACTAACTCTTTTTTTGTTAATATTGTATAAAATTTTTCTAAATAGTTAAGAAGGTTTATTATGTTTCAAAAGAGCTTAAAAATAAGTTCTGTTCTCTTCTAAAATTTGGTTGAGCCACCTCGAGCTTTGATGACTGCAAGGAGACGAGAAGGCATTGAAAGTACCAGCTTCTCAAGTAGTTCATTTTCCAAACCATAATTCCATACAGAAATAATTTTTTCCCTTAGTTCAGTTGCATTGCTGAAGTTCTTGGTCCAAACCTTTCTTTTGAGCAGGTACCATAAGTTTTCTATGGGATTAAGATCTGGAGATTGAGGAGGCCAATCTAAAGTTTTCCATCCATTGGCCATGACAAAGTCTCTCACTAGTTTTGACCTATGGCAAGGAGCACCATCATCTTGCAGCCAGAAATCTGTTCCTGGAAAGAGGGTTCTTGTAGACCATTTCACCTGCTGGTTTAAAACTTTAATATACCATGCACTGTTGCATACCTCTCCCTTTTCAAGAAACCTGATTCGGCCAACTCCGGAAGCCGCAAATGCTCCCCACAGCATAACTGATGCAGGATGCTTCACAGTTGGAGTAAATATGTTCAGTTTCTCTCCAGTTTTTCTGCGAAAGCGAACTTTATTTGCATCATTACAAATTGAGATGCGAGTTTCATCAGTAAAGAGGACTTTTCGCCAAAATTCTTCGTCTTTGCTTATGTACTTCCTTGCAAAGCTTAGTCGCAGTTTCCTATGTCGAAGTGTAAGAAGTGGCTTAGGTGGTGCAACCCTTGAAACAAGTCCCATCTTTTTTAGATATCTTCTGATGGTACTTGTTCCAACATCTAAACCACTGTGCCTCAATTCTTGTTGTAGCTTTTTGCTAGATTTTGTCGGTGACCGACGTACAGCAATCTCAATGCTTTGGAGCATGCGGGGTGAAACTTTACAAACTCGACCACAATTCTTCCTCCTTGAAGAAACCGATCCTGTTTCAGTATGTTTCTGTAAGAGAATACATACATGAACTAAAATGACTAGTAAATATCAAGATTTAATTAAACAATTCTATGAAACCACTATCACAACTTAGAAATGAAGACAATCTTGCCTTAACAATAGATGCAACAGATCCAACAGAAACACCAAAATAGTGTGATATTTGACGGTAAGTCAATCCATTCGCAACACTTCTTATTATTGACTGCTTTAAATCATCTGATAGATCTTTTCTAGCACGTTTAGGCATGACTTATAGCAAAAAATCAATTAATTTCCTAAAATTAAAAAACTAAAAAACAAATAAGCAAAATTAAACTAGCTTTTGCAAATATTTCTTTTCCACGCGTTACCTAGACAACCATAGAGTATTTATAGCTACCAGACGACAATAAAATAGTAAGTAAGATGAATTACTGAAGCTCAATTCACAACTTCCAATTTACCAGATTTTTAGCTAATTTTCGGTTCTCTGGTTCATATTCTTTTTTCTCCTATATTAAAACCTTAAACTTTACAAAACCTTCATAATTTATGTTAGGAATAATAGTTCTAATTAAGGATGAAAGATTGCTACCTAAACATTTTAATCTGTTCGATTCACAAGCAAATTTATTCATGTTTCCCATGAAATATGTGAGTGTTCACAATTTTTTGAGCACTACTGTATACTTTTCTTCCCTTCTTCCTGCTTATATTTCTTCATTTGTGCGTGTGTACAGCCCAAATTTTTAAGTTTGAAATAAACAAATTTAAACAATTATGACGTTATTATTATTATTATTATTTATATTTATGTTATATTATTAATATTATATTATTATTAATATCATAGTGTAGTTATAGTAATAATAATAATAATAACAAAACTATTTTCAAAACAATTTTATTTATTTTTTCATATTTTAAATTAGAAAAAAAACCTCCCAAAAAAGAATTTCACATTCCAAGTCGAAACGTTTTAAAAAAGTATTAAATAAAATTTTTCTTTCCAAGTATCATAATAACAAAAGCCACAGGCAAACTTTTAAATAAATTCGCACCCACACTCAGACACAAACAAATACAAACACACACACACAAACGTGCACATGCGACCACTATACAAATTGATACAACCCGCTATTTACAATATATGTACACGAAGAAAATGGAAGAAGATTAAATTAAACATTATACACACATATACATATATATATATACATACACACACAAACACGTGTGTGTAAGACATAGAAAGAGAGAGAGAAAGAGAGAGAAAGAGAGACAGAGAGGAAAGATTTAACGCCAACCTTTAAGGCAAGAAATATAACCCATTGTCGTTTGTTAGGTTAAAAAGATTTCACAGATTAATTACAAATCAATAGGATATAAGTAAGCTTAACGTATTCGCTCGCTGTCGTCTATTAATAAATAACACAGAGCAACTCATCAGCATAACTTGCTGTTCGTTTATTGATTACGTAGTAAATCTATTACATCTGTCTATCTATCTATCTATCTATCTATCTATCTATCTATCTATCTATCTATCTATCTATCTATCTACCTCTCTGTCTGTTTGTCTATTTATCTATCCATCCATCCATCCATCCATTCTTCTACCTATCTACCTAACAGTCATATAACTTAACTTATA